CTTTAAGATGAGGTTGGCACGAAGTGAAAAGATTACTGAAAGGCAGTAAACCTAAATAGCTAATGAAGGTCATAGAGGACATGGGATGGGGCACCCCTACTGCCTTATGGCAGAGAGGTGGAAGAGTGTTGTATCCAAGATCAGATACAGTCTCTGTAGGGAATGTTTTAGCTTAATTGTTTTTCTTTGGAAAAAAGGAGAATTCAGTCTGGTGGTGGGTGGGATGGAACAGATGAAAAGATAGCAATAAAGCAGATTTTTAAAATATTAGCGAGACATGTCTGTTATTTCTTGATGTTTTGAAAGGTGGGGAAAAAGCCATTAAAAAAGCTATTTGTTTTCTTTTCTGATTGTCAATTCGCACCATCAGCTCTCCTGTTGAGGAGATAGCTCTTGCCTATTCCCCCCATGCTCTTCCCACACTTTGCCCACTTCTTACACATCTAATATCTCTTCATGCTGATGAAGTGAATCATCAGGAGACTAGACCCTAACGATATTTAGCACTTTAGATCCATCATAGTACATTTTTTGGCTCAACCTGAATAACTAGAATGGGATTTTTTTTTAATGGAAGTTACTTTTGTAGTTATATTTAGATACTAATTTTCATTTCCCATTGGCTTCTGGTGAAATGTTTCTGTTTTGATACATGCAATTAAAATATTCAAGATTTTAAAACCTATCATTCCTAGGAGAGAAATTTAATTTTCTCTCCTTTTGCCTGTTCTAAAGTAACAGCGTGTGTTGAGCTCACTGCCAATTGAACACCTCCCATGTATTCTAACATCCTAAGCCCAATTGACTTTCTAATTTCCCCTTACATTCACTGTCATCTGCCAGACCATCTAGTACCTTAGCAGATCCTAATGAGTTCATAGAGCTTGCCGGGGCATGGATGGAGTCTCTAATTAAAATGAAGCAGTTATGATGAATATATTGCTAATAATAAATTCCAGCAGAATGTAGTGTGGGCCATTAAAAATGGTGGTTCTGCAACCAAAGGTTACTTTCTTTCTTGTAGCATAATGAACCTATTTTTTAAAGACTTTACCTTTTACCCAGAAGAGTATGAAGTTTTGTGATCCAATTAAGCTTCTTTCTTATGACCCTCCCTGTTTTCCAACTGACATCTACTGTAACCCCAAATGGCTGCTTATTAAAATATGACACTCCAACAGTTGGCAAAAACTGACTGTGTCATACATAACTGTCCCAAATATTCAGAGACAGCTGCGTTTTTTATTAATTTAATAACTATAGATTTGAGATATTTGAAGGAAACTCAAAAAGGCAGAAAGAAGGTTATGAATTAGAGGGATAATGGAGGCACACTCCTGGGATCCCAAGGTTTTAGATATAGAGCTTCGAAGGGATATTCGAAGTCATCAAGGCCAGTCCCCTCATTTTAAATGAGCAAACTGATGCACAGAGACATCAAGTGACTTGCCCAAGGTCACCCAGTAAACGAATGAAGCAAGATTCAAACCCAGGTCTTCTTCCACCTCAGGTCTAGAGCTGTACCTTCTAAGGACACCACTTCTCCTAAGCTGAGGAAACTGAGGCTGCTAAGTGATTTACCTGGGGTCATAAAGCTAGCCAGGATCTGAAGCAGAGTTGATGCCAAGTCTGGCAATCGGTTCAAGAAACCCCCTTAATCCCCATGACCTGATGCCCAAAAGAGTTGTCAGAACTCTGGGAGCAGGTTTCTTGAACCTTCCACCCTGGCCTTCTGCAAGCCAGCCATGATTTTCTTGGGGTGGCAAACTGCCAGTCAATCAATAAGCATTGATAAAGCACCTACTGCATGCCAGACACTGGGCTGACCACTGGGGATACAAAGACGGTTCCTTTCTGAAGGATGCCACAGTCTAAAGTGGCAAAAGCGCACAAAAACGCTCTTCACACCAACCTACGTCAGCAATCCCTGGAGAAAGTCAGAGGGAAGGCAGCAGAAGAAAGGGGGACACAAGGCCATCTTTGGAAGGGCAGGTTTCAGCTGGGATTTGAAGGATGCCAGGGAAGGGGAACGGCAGGGTTCAGGCACAAGGGATAGGTTGTAAAGGTACCCTGCGCGGGGAGATGGAGCTGGAAGCAAGGAGGCCAGTGCACGTGTGTGAGTGTTTGTGTGTAAGTGTGGGAGTGTGTGTATGTGTGTAGGGGGTGTGGGGGGGTAGGTGTGTGGGTGTGGGTGTGTGTATGTGTGTGTGCAGGTGGGGTGGGGGGTACGTATGTGTGTGGGGGGTGTATGTATGTGTGTGTGTGTGGGTGGGTAGGTATGTGTGGGGGAGTGCTCTTGTGGGGGGGGTGGGTGTGGGTGTGGGTGTGGGTGGTGAGGTGTGTGTGTAGGTGTGTGTATGTGTGTGTGCAGGGGGGGTGGGGGGGTAGGTATGTGTGTGGGGGGGTGGGGGGGTAGGTATGTGTGGGGGAGTGCTCGTGTGTGGGGGGGGTGGGGGGTGAGTGTGGGTGTGGGTGGTTAGGTGTGGGGGGGGATGTGGGCGTGTGAGTGTGTGTGGAGGGGTGATATGGTTTTAGGAAGATCACTCCTTCAGCTGAGATGAGGGACTGAGGGCCTGCACCAGTATCTAGCACTGTCTGAGGAGAGAAGGGGCACATGAGACAGATTTAGGAAAGTAAATTCAACATAGCTGGGCAACTGATTGGGATTTTCTCGTGAGAAAATGTCCTATATTAATGATGATCAGAAGCTGCTCTGAAACTTAAGAGAAAGAGCTGTCTGGGGCATGAAGAAGTCATGATTTCTTCACAGTCACAACATGACAGAATTTGAACCCAGATCTTCTTGACTCTGATACCAACTTTCTGCTCTTTCCTTTTATCTCTCTGTTTACTTTTGAGGCAGCCTGGTGGTACCATGGATAGAATGCCAGGCCTGGAGTCAGGAAAATGTGAGTTCAAATGTGACTTCAGATACTTAGTAGCTGTGTGACCCTGAGTAAGTCACCTAACCCTTGTGCCTCAATTTCCTCATCTGTAAAATGATCTGGAGAAGGAAATGGCAAACCACTCCTGTATCTCTGCCCAGAAAACCCCAAATAAGGTCATGAAGAGTTGGACATGACTTAAATGACTGAATAACCCCAACTATCGATATCTATCTATCATCCATTAATTACCTGTCATCCACCTGTTATCATCTCTCTATCATCTAACTATCATTCATCAGACATGAATGAGTTGGGATTGGCTTCACTGGACAGTATGCCATCCTAATGAGGCAAAATCTTCATTGGAATATTGGGCCATTCGACATGACATGGACAGAGACCAGACCAGTGATTTCCTTCATAGAAGGAAGTCCCAGAGGAGGAAACTCCCTCCACCAACGCAGATCAATCAGGACTTTGTTGGCAGCCTATAATGTCTGAGAGATGCCAAGAGAACTGAGAGGGTTAGTGACTTCACCCATGCCAGCACGAGTCAGAAGCAGGACTCACACCCAGGCGCTCCCAGGTTGGCTCTCCACCCACTATGTCACACTGATGACACACACAGTCGGCGGGTCTGGGGGCTTCCCAGCGCCCGTGTCAGGATTATGAATATCGCCTTAGCCCGTAGAGGACGTCATCTGAAGCAATTCTTTCTCGGCCATAAATCAAGTCCATTTCTGGCTCTTATCAACTCTGTTGACAAAAGTCTTAAAAGTATTTTATCCACAGAGATTTTATTACCCAGATATGGGCACTGTATATATGTCAATGTGTCTGGGAGCTGTTTTGGCAAAGAAATAATGCTACCAAGTCCTTGGTTTGTACACGTTTTCTGAGAATAATAAAGGAAAATGGATTCTAACCCAACCCCAAGTTCTTGCTGTGGGCGCAGGGTAGGAATTGTGTATTTTTCAAAGGAACAAGGCTCAACGGCTGAACTTCCTCTAAGTTGGGCAGCCCGCCTCAGTGACACCTCTAGGATGCAGCCTGATTCTCTAAAAGATTTTTGGACCCAGGGGGTTCCTGCCCTTTACTTAGGTATTTTGTTCTTCCCAGAATTGTGATGCTACCCCCGACGCTTTTTTCTCCTGCTTCCACAGAATAAAATTGCTTGAAGCCCTTGGTGGATATGACGTGCTCTCGTGTGATCGGCCAGCAGTACCCATTTCCTGAAGATGAAAGGGTTTGTCAAAGTTGGACTTGCCTTAATCACTAAAGGAGGACAGTGTGGCCAATTTGCTGCCACCGTTAAGGAAGTGAGATCACACTTCTTGTGGCTGGTGTGGTTCACAGGAGAAGAACCATCCCAGAACGGGTTATTCAGAACAGGTGTCAACTGGGTTTTCCTGGCTTTCATGTTCCCCACTCCTTTCTATCTGCAACAGAGGGAGGAGAGGAGAGGGGAGGGGAGGGAAAGGGGAAAGGGGAAGGGGGAGGAGAAGAGAGGAGAGAGGAAAGTTCCTACAATTCTCTAAGATAATAAATTGAAGGAGAGTTGATCATCTGCATGGGAAGAGGGAGTTAGCTTATAGGGAAGGAAGCAAAATCACAAAGCAGAATGCGTCTAACAGAGCTGGAGTGCTGCATGGGGCAAACTGATGGGGGTCAGTGCCCAGGGCTTTACAGGACAGGCAGATGTGGACGGATTTGGATCTGTGTGAATGGAGGAAATAACGGCCGAATGATGTCAGTCCCCAGAGTCTGCGTGCCTGCCTTGCAGAGACGCTAGAAGGCTCAACTTTGATGATGTGGGTGAGGCACTCTGCAAAATGTCAGGTATTTTACCAACGTTGGCCATTGATCATTACGTCTCTGAGGCCAGCAAGAGAGCCGGCGTGATATAGTGGGACGACAGCCCTTCTGGGGTCGGGAAGCCCCTCCAGACCCTACCTCCGCACACACAAGATGCGGCCCCGCCTCTCCGAGCAGCTGCCCAAGACCCCACCTGCTGACGAGGTGGCAACATGCACCAGAGGAGGGAGTTTCCCCAGTGAGGGTTGACCCCGTTCAGAGGCGCGTCCCGTAAAGCGTCCTTGCAGGCCACCTTACCTAAAGGCGTGCTTGAGCTCTGACATCTCTTTGTCTTTGATACGCAGGTCATCTTCCAGCCTCTCTGTTATAATGATGTAGGATTCGCTGACTTTTTTCTTCCACTCATCTAGTAAAGGAAAACAAATGGGCCTGATTTGCGGTTGTGTTTTCCACAAAGCAGACACAGTTTATACCACACCAGTAATCAAAGCCTTGCTTTCCATACTTTATTCTACAATACCGAGTTTAGATCACTGATTTTGAATTTTAGATGCAGATGTTTGTATTTAAAATGCAGTCATACTGAATGGGAATAATTAAGACCTCATTTTATTTTGGATAATATATTTACTAAGAAAAATCGATTTTAGTTATTTCATTTGATTTTATTGCATTTTAATTATAGCAATCTCTGGTCTTAGAACTGAGTTTGAGATTTTTAAATACTAATTACTTAAGAATTAATTTTTTTTAAATCCCTAGATTCAGCAATATTCTAACTCAATTTCAATTACATTATGTCAGGTAATAAAACATTCACCTCCTATTTTTCCCCAAGAATTGTTTTTTTTGTTTGTTTGTTTCTGGGCTGACCTTTCAGAAAGAAATGAGTAGAGCTTATCTCATCATCCTAATCCTCCTAGGCAACATCTTAACCTTGACCTAAGACAGAAGAGCATGTCCCTGAGCCAATCTGCACATATTGCATTAGAAGAAAGTTGGCTAATTACCCGTGCAGGTTTGGGTCGGTCTGGATTTATAATTCCCCATCGGTTGGCTTTTTCGCCTTGGTCTCAGCAAAAGTCTCCCAGCACTGTGCTGTCTTGCTCCAGTATGTCGACAGTCCTGTTGAGAATGACTCTGATAGCCTGGCTAAAAATAAACCAGGAGCCAAGTGGAATGTCATGTCATGATGACAAAAGAATGAAACTGTGTGTGCCCTCAAGTGTAAAATAATAAAGGTAACTAATCAGTTTGCTTAAAAATGCGACATCCAAAAAATACATGGCACACCATTTAATGGGCTTATTTGCCTCCAACAATTGATTGACTTCCCATACTCACCTATTATGTGCTTTTTCTTATGCAGATAATGCTGAAAAGTGGTTTAGCTGTACCTAAGCCTTTCCAAAAAAAAAAAAGTCATTAAAGCAGCCTCTCTTCACCACCAGTTTCTCCCCTTTCTCATCAAAGGGGCTGAAGCAAGAAAGCCAGAGCCTCAGATGGCACAGTTTGACCCTGAGCATGAAAATAAGTGAGTCCCTGGTCTAGGAGGCCTGCAGGAGGTAAACCACTAAGAGAAGGGAATACAAGATCTGTTGGCCTAAGTCCTGGGAATTCCGAAGGGCTGGGAGAAAACACAGCAGCTTCACACAACTCAGCGTTATCTGTACGCTTGTTTGTTTCTTACACTAGCTGCTGATACACAGGCTAGGGTCATCTGAGCACAGACACTAGATGGAAAGGCAGCATGGTGGTAGGAGAGGGGCAGGGGTGGAAAGGCTTTTATAGTCATCAGTATTCTGAGTGCGCTTTAAGGTTTGCAGAGTGAAATAGAATAGGCACACAATATACAGTAGCAAATGTTTATAGTAACCTTGCATTTGAAAAATGTTAAGATTTAAGTTTTGGGAAAAGGATTTCATTATTTGGCAAAAATTGTTGGAAAAACTAGAAAGTACTTTGGCAGAAATAGGGCTTAGCTCACTATCTTACACCATTTACCAAGATAAGGTCAAAATGGGTACTTGACCTAGACAAAAGACCACAAGAAAACTCAAAGAATGTGGGACACATTACCTATCAGACTTAAGGATAGGAGAAGAATTTATGAACAAACAAGAGCTAAAGAACATAGGGAGGCATAAAATGAATAATTCTGATTACATTAAATTAAAAAAAAAGGTTTTGTACAAATAAAACCAATGTAGCCAAGATTAGAAAGAAAGCAGAAATTTAGGGGAAAAATTACAGACAATTTCTTGGATAAAGGTCTCATAACTCAAATACATAGAGAACTTTGTCAAGTGTATAAGAATATGAGTCATTCCCCAATTGATAAATGCTCAAAAGATATGAAAAGGCAGTTTTTGGATGAAGAAATCAAAGTTATATAGTCATGTGAAAAAATGTTCTGAATGATTATTGATTAGAGAAATGCACATTAAAACAACTTTAAGGTATCATCTTATACCTATTAGATTCCCTAAAACTATAGGAAGAGAATATGACAAATGTCGGAGGGGATGTGGAAAAATTGGGACACTAATACACTGCTGGTGGAGCTGTGAACTGATCCAACCGTTCTGAAGAGCATTCTGGAATTCTGCCCAAAGAGCCATTAAACTGTATAACCTCTGACCCAGCAATACCACTATGAGCTCTGTTTCCTGAGGTGATCAGGGGAAAATGAAAGGAACTTCTACACTGCTGCTTTGTGGCAGCAAAGAGCTGGAAATTGAGGAGATGCCCATCAATTGGGGAATGGCTGAACAAGCTGTGATACATGACTAGCATGATACTACTAGGCTGTAAGAAGCAATGAGCTGGTTGATTTCAGAAAGATCGCATGGAAAGGCTTGCATGAAGTAATGAAGAGAGAAATGAGAAAAACCAAGAGACAGTTGTGTACAGCAATGACAGTAGTGTTCAGAGTACACCTGTGCACATTTAAGTTATTTTGAATATTATAAATACTCAAATCCACTCCAAAGGACCTATGGAGGAAGATGCTATCCACCTCCAGAGAAAGAACTGATAAATAGAAGTAAGTATAATATGGTTTTACACACCATACACACACACACATATTATACATAGATACATTTACATATTTAAATAGACAACTGGAGATGGCCCAGGATGCAGTGGGAGACCTTGGCCTTTTTTAAGCTGAGGTCTTTTCAGGTTCTCACTTTGAGTGATGCCAGTCCCACTCAGTGAATAGGCCTCTTTAAGGAGTGAGTCAAGGAATGACCCCTTCATTAAAAAAAAAAAAAGAATCAAACTTGAAGGGGGAGACCCTCAGTGGGCTGGCCAAAAGAGAAACAGCATTTACATTCTCTGATCCTGCAGGGCCCCCAAAATAACCATTAAATAGTGCTTAGGCAGGAACCCATGTTGTCCAAACCGGGAGATTGAGAGTGAATTGATATCTGGCCCCAGGACCCAGATGGCTCTGGGGGAGAAAGTGAGGATGGTGACTTTGCACAGCCCTCCCTCACTCAAATCAAAGTCAATTGCAAGTCATGCCATCATCTTCCTGACGTCGTGGTCCTCTGAAGGACACATCAGAAAAACATTTTTGCATGTATACACATACATAATTGTGTGTAATCGTGGTCTTCTCTAGTACAGTGTGGTGAGGGAGAAAAAAAGTACATGGCAGAGAACAAAAACAGCAACTTAGGAAGAAGGACAGAAAAGTAGGGTAGCTTTGAAAATGACCTGCAGCTTTTGTTTAATAGTTTTGTTTTTTTAAAGTAAATTGGGAAATGGAGATTCATGTGCTGTGTACTATGGAAATGTTTTTTTTTTCTTTTTGTATTTAAGCTCAAAATTAATTTATAAAAAAGAAAGAAAAAAGGTTTGCAGAGTGTTTGACTAATGCCATCCAATTGGATCCTTACAACAGCTCTGGGAGGTGGGTGCTAAGTGACTTGCCCACATAGCTAATAAGTGTCTGAGCTGACATTTGCACTCGGGTCTCCCTGACTCCAGGTACAGGGCCCTATTCACTGGCATACCTAGCTGCATCTATGGAGTCAGGACCACCTAAATCCAAATCTGGCCTCTAGCTGTGTAAGTCATCTCCAATCTCTGAGCCTCAGTTTCCTCATCTGTAAAATGAAGATGATAACCACACGTGCAGGGTCTCCCTCACAGAGCAGGCCAAGATCTGTTTTGCTTTTGTCTGTATCCTCAGAATCCAGCACATAGTAGGATCTACTAGCACCCACAGAGGAGTGCACTAATAGGGTCCAATATGAACTTTAGGAAAATCGCTTTGGCAGCTGTGTGGAGGAGGGCCGAAGAAGGAGAAAGACTTGCAGTGGAATGACCAGTTTGGAGGCAATTGCAATAGTGCAAGCAGAGGCGATGAGGGCTCGAGCTCAGCTGGCAGCAGTCTGAGTGGAAAGGACAGATTTTGTGGAGGCAGAAATGATTGTATCTGGCAGCCGCCTGGCCATGTAGAACGATGGTGGGTGGAATCAAGTGTAAACCAAGGTTATAAACTTGGGAAACTGATAGAGGGTAAAACTCTCAACGGGAATGTGGATGCTTAGGAGAGGAGGAGTTTGGTGGCACAGAGAGGGGAGCAGTTATATTTCTACCTCTTGATGTGACTCCATTCCAGTATAAAGGTATGGTCACATCTCACTTCTCTGTTTTGCCTTCTTCTAGCCCCAGGTCTTACGTGAGGACAAGAGCAGTGTCAGCGGCACAAACCAGTCCTCGTTGTCTTAGAATCCTAAGACTGATGATGACAGACCAGTTGACTAGGAGGTCTCTCGTCCCCTCTGCTGAAGCACAGCTGATTTCTCCCCAAGCCGGGGACTCCTTGTTTTGAGTCTGTATTTTTGGCACATGATATATTCACATGGAAAACAGCGTGTCTTCAGAAGCCCCCTTGTCACACAGAGACATCCTTTACAATGGACCGATTGTGGCTTCTCCCTGACTTGGCTTGCAACAGTGTTTTAAGTAAAGCCCTTTACCAACCATTTCATCTAAATTGTAATAACGTGTCCCCGACACTGGGGGAATAGCAATGAGGTCCTTTTAGACAGGTTGAATTTGAGATCCCCGTGGGCTATCCAGATTGAAATGTCCAACAGGGACTGGAGTTCAGGAAGAGTCCCTCCCCCAACCCCCTCAACCCTTAGAACTGTGGATGGATGGGAGGATGTCAATGATGAAGGTGAATGACCGACGGGAGAGTCACACTAAAGAAGGGCTCGGGAAGGGATGAAGAGACAGAGGTGTGGCCGTAATGGAAAGAATACCCTGTGTCAAGAGTGGAATTGTACATGCACGATTAGCTTCCCTGGGATCTCCTGCTCAAATGTTATAGTGCAGGAAATCACAGAACTTGAGAGTCAGAAGAACCTCAGCGGTCAGTCATTCCCACTCACACACAAAAGTAATTCCCATTTGTAATGTACATGATGAGCAGTTATCCCCCCTCTTCTTGAATACTTCCAAGGAGGGGGCACTCACTACCTCTCCTAGCAGCCCATCCTACTTAGCTGATTCCAGATTTCCTCTATGTTGTCCAACAACTCTAAGAAGCCATATATCCAGAGTCACAAATTCTGGAGTCGGAGGAACCTCTTAAGGTATCTAGCCTAAGTCCTACTTAAAAAGGACTCTGTTACACCACACGTAATAAACACTTATTCAGAATTTGATGAACACCCTTAAATGGTCTTCCATTTCACTTCTGGATAGCTTCAATTCAGGAATTCTTCATTTTAAGGGGTCTGGGAACTTGGAACTTTTAATATGTTGATAACTTTATTTCAATGTTATTATTGAATATTCCATATACAATATATAATTTCATATATTTTATTTTATGCTTTAAAAATATTCTCAAAAGTGGTCCATTGGCTTCACCAGACTGTCAAGTCTACCAACCCTGCACCTGGAGTAAAGAAGAACTGAGTTCAAATCCAGCTTCAAGTTTTCAGATATTATCTCATTTGAGTCTCACAGCAACCCTGGGAAGCATTTTACAAATTTATAATTGAGGAAACTGAGGCAGACAGAGGATAAGTGACTTGTCCAGAGTCATACAACTAGGTCACACAAATCAGAGGCCAGATTTGAACTCAGATCTTCCTTATTCCAGACCCAGCATTCTATCCACTCTGCTATCTAGCTGCATTTAATCTCACAAATGAGATTATAAAATGTTTCAAACGGTGTTTATAGAAAATATCCACTACACCAGGGAATATATGGATATTGATAAATGTCTACACTTTCTGTAGAGCTTATTTGGATTCATTCTACATGTCCTAGTGAACTTAATAAAAATCTTATTTCTCTTGAATTTCCATTTGCCCTTCCTGGTCCACATCAAAGTGAAAACCTTTGTCTATCCCATTTACCCATTGTATTATTTGTTCACAGTCATAACTACGTTCTCATAGCCCTTAAGCAACCTATAGACATTTTTTCCCCCACTTTTTCTTTTATGTGTTGTGTTCAGATATTTTTATCCTAATCTCCATTTGTGTATATG